ACATTTGCAGACCAAGTAACTGTTTCTTTGTTAGATAAAATCTCGCATGTATAAATAGATGTATTTCATAAACTAAAATTTGGGGCTCAAGATCAGGTCAGTTTTGGAATCTGTCACTTTAATAAACTGATTTTGTAGGTAGAACTCCAGGATTCTCTAAATCCTTTCTGTGCAGACTAGGTGGGGCACTCTGGTGTTGGACAGTCCTTTGTCCTCACTGGCCCATGTTGCTTATCAAGAACATCTCTGAATTCCCATGTTTGACCATGCTCTGTCTGTTCAAGATGGTCAATAAAAACTGGCCACAAAACACACAGAAAAAGTTCCTGTACTTTCCCCTTGTGCTTTGTATAACTACAAAGATGTTATTATTTGCTGTAAACATGGGCTTTCTTGACATCGTTTAGATTTTGCTTAGTTTTAATGGATTGGATTTGAATCTTTGCCATGTCATCTATGAGCTCTGTCATCCTTGGTAACCTAAATTCTCTTTCTGAACTTCTTTTCCCACCTATAAAATGGACAAATCCAGACAGTAAGGAAGAAGGTCAGGCCAATGAAGAAAGTTCTAGTGAAAATATGTGTGTTTAGAATAAGACAACACTTTATGTCTGTGAGCCCTTGGATGGCCACACTGTTTCAGATGGAGAGCCCGGGATTGTCCAAACCGATTCAGAGATGCTTGTTCCCTCCACGTGGTTTCTCCTAATAAGACTCTTACAACACAATAAAAATAATGATAATGATGAATAGCTGCCAGTTATAAATGTCAATTGTTGTATTTCAACAACCCACAATGTCTCTCCTTTAAAGGACTATGCTTTAAAAAATACTCTTCCTGCTTCTTTGAGAATTTCATACAATATTTTGATCATATTCAGACCCCCTCCCCCATCTCTATCCCCCACTAACCCCCCTCAACTTTGAGTCCTCTATTATTATTTTTCTTTTTAATGACCTATAGAGTTTTAAGTAGTGTCCCAAAATGACCTTGGGTGTGGGTACATCCCTAGAACCTGGTCAGCCTACCAGACCTCACACCCTTAAAGAAAACAGACTCTCCCTCTCCCAGCGGCCACAAATTGTCACTAGATCCTCAGCTAGGGCTGGGACTTTCTGCATATTTTTTGTTTTTTCTTTTGTTATCTATAAGGATTTCTTTTACTTCCCAAACCATTAAAGCACATCTTTTCGAGACCTAGATCACTTGAACCACTGTGATTCCAAGGTCACTGGTTGGAAAGGGAAATTCCCATTCAAGCATCTGAGTGTTTTGTATCCTAAATGCAGGATGCTTCACTTAAATTTTATTTTGGCTGAGGGCCATTGGGCTCACTGAAGCTTGAGGAGCTATTCCTGTGTCTTCATCAGTGTGAAGAGGGGAGTAATACTATGTTCTTCACAGCGCGTTTGGGACTGAGCCTCCCCGAGGGCTGCAGATACACAGGGGTAGAGTGCTTGCTTGGCATGTGTGAGGCCCTAGCTTCAATCCCCAGAACACACACACACACACACACACACACACACACACACACACACACACTCTCACACACTCCACATGGGGTCTGGAGTATAGTCAGAATTTAGAAAATATTGATTAATCTTATTATTATACAGGAGGATGCTATTTGATGCCTGGGTAGCTGTATTAAAATTGCAATGGATACAGATCCATAAAGTTGTTCCCTTGTGAATTCCCTTTCAGGCAATGTCAGGGGGAGGCTCTCACTGCAGTGACTATAAAAAGTCCGGGAGACATGGCTCAGGGGTTAAGAACACTGACTGTTCTTGCGGAAGACCCGGGTTTGAATCCCAGCACCCACATGGCAACTAACAACTGTCCATAACTCCAGTTCCAGGGGATCTGATGGCTTCTTCAGTCCTCTGCAGGCATTGCACGATACAGGTGCACTTACCTACATGCAGACGATACACACATACACATAAAATAAAAATAATGTGTTAATATTATTTTAAAAAGTCCTAAGCACCTGTTTAACATTTATCATCTTCCTCCTTAGCAGACAGAAATGTCTCCCGGCTCAAAGCTCAGGTTCAAAAGATCCTGTGTCACAGCTGTTTATGGCTAGGATGTAAGTCTCTCTTCTAAGCAGATTTATTTAGGTAAAATAAATGAGCTTATGAAAAAAATAGGTATATGGATATTGTTAACTTCATAGTAATGTTGTATTAGTTGTTGAAAATATCCAACCAGCATCCTCCCAGTTCCAAGTTCTGTTCTAGTATTGAATTGTCAACAGATGCTCTAAATCACACCTTCCATCACTGAAGTGCTTCTATTCAGCAATTGTTCAATGAAGCAGAGACTTAGCTGTGAAAGGGAATGGCAGAGCTGGCAGAGATGAATGGGGGCTGACACAGTGGCTGGAACCACACCCACTGTCCAGGGTAAGCAAAGGCAGCTGTGGAGGTGGCAGCTGGCTGCCTGCCACTGATGGTCTGGATGGCCAAATGGAAATCACAGTCTCTGCCTTTGGATACCTCATACCCAAGCCCCTTACAAAGCAGGTCTAGAAGGAGAGAGATACCATTCTGAGAGGTCCCCACTGATGTTCAGCACTCCAGTGCTCTGTTTACACAGCAATGGCCTTGCATGCCTGTATACGTGTGGCCTGGGCCATCAGTGATGTCTGATTATACTCCTAAATGTGAATTTGGGAGCATGACTCTCCTATTTGGGCTGTGTTCCCAGGATCCTGAGGAACTCTGCCTGTGTTTACTCATGAATATATCCACCTTGTGAACTTTAGTGACTTATTCATCAATGGGTGGCATTCACTGAGCACCTATGTGCTGTCCGCTGGGCTGGACATGTGTTCCTCTCAGTCTTTGAAAATCTTACTTTACAGGTCTGTTGAAATTGTTTGTGACTAAAACATCTTGCCCAATTCTCATCATATCTAAAAATGATTAACAAACTATACCCAGAGGAACCACAGAAATATAAGGTATCAACCCTACATGAAATCTTAGACTCATAAATTGATGTCGTTGGAATTGGAAACAGACTGTTCCACCCAGAAAACTCTTGAAATGATTTAATAAAGAACTGGTCAAAGCTCTTTTACCAACAACCCTGAGGCAGAAGCACAGAGGCTGGGGTGACCCAACTGTAGGGGAACATTCCAGCAATCAAGAGGCATCATCTCAGACACCAGAAGCCAGGGCAACAACAGACCAGACATAATGACCTGGAGGACCTGTGTGGTGAGGGATCCCTAGCACCTGGTTCCCCCTGGGTTTGTAGTCCTGGCTTTATGAGTTTTGTCTAGGGGGGCTTTCAAGAAATTCTCAGGTCCCACTTGAGAGCACCTCACAGAGATACTGGGGGAGAGCACATTCTGGGGGTGTTCTAATTAAATTTGTGCTTTGACCTGTGCCTAACTTATTCAAGGACTTCATCAGAAGCTTTCTTATGATACATTTTATATTTACAATCCTGATGACATCATTTCATGGGATGGAAGTCCATGACTCTCAACTGCTTCTCATCTTTTGTAAATGGAGATAAAAAGGAAGCAACTTGGGAGATTCCTCATCAGGACAGGTATCTCTGGAAACAGCAACAGCAACTGCAGGCGTAGCCAGCATAAGCTACCATCCATACCAGGCACTGCACCAGGAAATACGGAAAGAGAACTGGGCTCTACTTTCGTTCTGAAACACATGGTCTGACTAGAATCTGGGGATGTTATAGGAAGCAAAAATGGTACAGAAAGGAAAGGATTCAAGGTCATCGCATAGAAGAGACCTTAGCTTTAATTAAGCACTTCATGCGAATCATTTAATTCTCATATCAGCTCATGAGATGAGTGGTACATTATCAGAGTGTCCTTTGATCACTGGGACCACCTTAGCCTCAGGAAAGGTCCACACAGTACTCTGTGATACCTCCTAAGGCAGTTTCTTTCCCAATGACATGAGTCTTCTAAGTCTGGTGCCTTTGAGGTGTGCTCTACTGCCCACTGTGAGACGACTCCCTGCCTCTCCTCCAAGATATCTCAACTCCAAGTCCCTCCATCACTAACTGTCCCCTTCCACAGCAAGGATAAAGTCATCCCCAGTTGAGAGCCAGAGCCCCAACTGCTGGTTGGTAAGGAGTGGAATCTAAATCTCAACAAGGGTAGTCTGGGTTTAGATTTGAGAACTGTGTTCTTCCCCAGCTGCTAGGCTGGGGGATAGAGGTATAGCCCCCTGTGGAGGACTATCCACAGGAAAGACAGTTGTGTCGGTCTGTAAAGGAAGGAGAGATGAGGGGACAGTCACCAAAGAGGGAAAATCAGAACTTTAGACATTGAATGTCTCCATCAGAACCAGGTGTGGAAGGGCTTCTTCTCATCAAAGCTTAGAGGCTTGAATTTCAGTATTCCTGAGGCCCGATCCTACCTAATCATGCCTGTGCTATGGCAGTCTGCTGACTTAAGCCTTCTGCCAGAAAGCCGCATTCAACCTGGGCAGGAAGAAGGAGACGCACACTCCATTCTGCCTTCTAAAATAAGGCAATTTCAGAGATTCATATGCTCAGAAAATGCCTGTCACACTTTGTGATTAGAGTTAGCTGCCACCCCCACCTGTCTGTCATCAGCCCTTGGTTCTGGGGGGATGATTGTTAAATCTGTATATGTCAGTGATGTTTTTGGCAGAAGCCTGATTATATCCTTCACCCTGGGTGACTGGAAATCTGGGTTGGTCCTAGAACTCTAAACCTCCTTTTGGTTTTTATATACAGAGTCCTGATTTCTTCCTGGCATTTCACATTTTCTGTGATAAAGAGAGCAACTCTATCCATAGCTCATTTTATTACACAGAAACTGTGTTTGCTATGAAGAGTCAACCTAGTTCCTAGTCCATTTTCCCTCTAGGTGTGGCCCCTCCCAACACACACACACACACACACACACACACACACACACACACACACACACACTGCTTCTCTCCTGTTCCTGGTCATTTTACCCTTGAGATGACAAGTGTCTTACCTGGGTCCCGGCTGGACCTCTGGAAAGATGTGTCTCTGAGGGGAGGGTGTGCTGCTCTCCTCCGCTGGTGCTGGCGGTAAGGGCTGGTACTTCTTGGGGAGAGTGATGACGGGTCTGTGGGAAGAATCACATTGTGGTGAGGACTGAGCAGGCATGTGGCTGCGCATTCTCAGACAGCAAATCCACTCTGGACCCCTCCCCATCCTGCTCAGCTCTGGGTTGGAGACTCCAGTGAGGGATGCTTTGTCATACGCTGAGCAGCCTGGACCACCCTGGGTGGCTTCAAACCTTAGCATCACGAGTCCTTCAGGGTAGTGTGCTCTGGTGCTCTGTTTCCTGCAGTGTGGGAGACAATTTCCTACAGGCGCCACAGACTTTTCAGTATGCCAAAAGGTCTGGGGAAAATAGAGCAACGGCCTTCTACTTACACCACACTGGAAGACCTGGGTTCTTAAAGTGCCCCAAAGAAACAGGAAATGTCTGGAAGTCAATGAAAACCTCATTCGCCCATTTTCCCCAGCCATTCACCCATTCATTCATAAAGTGTGTCAGGCACTTTGATGGATGGTGGAGACGCAAGAGGAAATGGACACACTCCTTAGCTCAAGATGCCCCCGTTCAGGGGCAGAGCGGGGGGTGGGGTGGAGAAGTGGTCAGAGCATGTGGCACAGGCTTGGCTGAGGGACACACTGGTCCAAGTAGGGCAGGGGCAGTCCCCGGCCCCCTCAGAACCTCAGCGGCCCAGTTTTCAGCTCTCACCTCTATGTGTACATATGAATATGACTGTAGTGGTATTTATATATGTGACATAAAATATGTACTTACATGGACATATATTTATTATTATGTCTGACTTAAATTGTAAGTCAATTTGTTTAATAATATTAAAATATATTGACTTTCTGGATGATTATTGAAGTAATTATTTTTTTGGTTTGAGACAGTTTCTCTGTTGCCCCAGCTGGCCTAGAACTCGTTATGTAGACCAGGCTGGTCTTTATCTCACAGAGATCTGCCTGCCTCTGCCTCCAGAGTGCTGGGACTAAAGGTGTGCACCGCCATGCCTGGCAGCTTACTGATTTATATGTTGGGTATATCCCGATCTCATATCTCTGGTCAAGTTGGGTGTGTACTTATAAAATATATTGTCAGATTACTGATAAAAGAAAGGAGCATGTCAAGTAGAGATCTAGGGAAGAGGATTCTGAGCAGAGGGCGGAGTGGTAGGTTCTGGCTACAAGAAGAGATTGGGGAAAATACACTGATGCTGGCCCTAAAGTTGTGAGTTATTAAGTTGTTGAATGTTGTCTATCCCACATCCACACTTGAGTGACTTGGTCTTGGGCCAGTGAGATAGCTCAGTGGTAAAGGCACCTGTTGCCAGGGCTGAAGACGACTTGTGTTTGATTTCTCTAGATCCACAGGGCAGAAAGACAGCCAGTTCCTGCAAGTTGTCCTCTGACCACGTGCACATTGTGGCTTGTGCACGCTATTCCCCATAAATAAGCAAATATAAAAAATGTCACTTGCTTCAATTGTAGCTAAAAATGATGATGGAGGTATAGTGAGGACAGAAAGACTGATTACATAAATGGACAAAGGCTGTTCTGTCTTGTTCACAGGCCAGCTTATACTGGTTTTATAAGTTTAAATGTTTGTGCTTCTTTTTCAGGCACTGGCAAAAAAGTCTACGGTACTGCAAAATGTGATTTTAGATGTCTTACCGAGGAGGCGGCAAAGGGACCTGTGGAAGGAGAGAGGCAGAGGTTAACTTCATTGCTCTTTGGGCAGGGCAGTGGTTAAGAGCTTTTCTTTTCAAAATAGAAATGAAAAATTATGACTGAAATTCTCGGATACAGTATTCAAGTGATATTTAAGCCACATTCCACATACCACAATGTTCATACTTTGAAAGAGTAGCAAATATGTTTTAATACTTTCCTCATACCTTGTTCACCTTTGTGGATTTTGTCCCTGAAACACAAGAGAGAAAACCAGTGAATCCATAGGAAACTTTACCCTTGTACATAAGCTCACGTGGAAGACATTGCTATATTCGAGAGATTGATGATATTGCTGATTGATAATCCTTGAGCTCCTATTAGCCACCAAGCGTGATGTTAAACACTTCATTTTGAGGTCTTTTGTTTTGGTAGGGAAGAGTCCAGGGCACGGGGAAGGTAAATACCCAAGTTATTATCACTGAACTAGAAAAAGGAGCAAAAGGCCTCCACTGCATAGAGTGTGACTCCCAAGACCTCTGATAGCTTTTGGGTCCTCCATTTGTTTAATTAGAACATTTGATGTTATTGAATAAATATATTAAGATATGACTCAAGGGGATAGTGGCTATAGGTAATATTTAGGATTTATACACATGCAATTTTGCGCATATGTAAATAATTCACGTTCCATCTAGCACCTTTCTGGGTATTCTAAGCAAAGGAAAAGATTATTACAGAATTCCTATGATGGAAAGGTTTTCAAAGACCCCCAAATTCGACACCTTTATTTAGTCAATGACAAAACCTAGAAACTACCAGAATAAATCCTTATAACAGCCTGAGTGGAGTGTGGGACAGAGTTTTCTGACTTCTGGGTGGTTTTATTTCCCCTGTTCACTTCCATTCAAAGGTAACTACTGAGCTAGGACTCTGAGTGAAGTCTTACACCAGGCAGTGAGGGGGAAAGCAACCAGCATCCCAGGATCCTTCTCCCACACCACTCACAGTTGTCCTGTTCATGGCCAAACCGTACCATCTGGGGAGGTGGGGGGATGGTGTAGATGATATAATCCGTGCTTGGAAAAGTTCATACATAAGTGTGTGGACATACATTGACCACACCATGAGAAAGAAGAGTCTCAAGTTCAGAGGACCCAGAAATTAAAGGAATGCATGTGAGGCTAGAGGGAGTCCAGAATGTTGGAGAAAGCCCCTCGAGGAAGCCCTTTGCTTTTCTGTGAAGAGCTTTCTCTTCTCCTTCTCTTGTCCTTCCCCCTCCTGTGGCAGTCACTATGGGATATCACATTATGTCTATGCCTGAATAGAAACAGCTTGAGTCTTAGCACGCATTTCAGTCAAGAGGGGAACCTGGGCTTCTCAGAACTGTGCTTTCGATCAAGGGCTTGCTCTTTTCTTTATTGAGGTGGTATACCCAGCATGAAAGGAAGGAAAACTAGAACTGTCTTATCAGAGGATTAGGTCTCTTCTGACTCCGCTGACCTGGAACACACACACAAACACAAACAGATGCTATCACTTTAATCTCATCTGTTGTTTGCAACACAAGTAAGATTATCTTTGTTGCTTCTAGCAAACATCCACAGCATGCAGATTCATACACTGTTCTGGGTCAAAGGCAAGGAAGGATCATGAGGGATTAAGGTTCTATTTTAGGTCACCAGAGGAACACAAGGCTCACTCAATAAGCTTGTTTACGATAAGATTAATTTTTTGGTTGGAAGGTTAAGTAAAAGTCATTTGTTTAGAGCATGTCGATATTGTAAAAGTCATTCCCACCCCCCCACCTCCCTCCTCCTCTTCCTCCCCCTCTTCCTCCTCCTCCTCTTCCTCCTCCTGCAGAAACATTTAACACAAAAATTGCCCTTTGAGCACATCTTCAGGATACAGTAGAGCGCTATGCCACAGAGGTCTCTGGAGTTTATTCATCTTGATTAACTCAAACACTGCACACTAACCATCACCTCCCACCACCCCTCCTTCTTGCCCCTGGTAACCCCATCTACTTCTTGCTGCTGTTAGGTCAATTTGGGTTTCATCTAAGTGGAATCATGCAATATTAACTATGTGTATCTTGTTTTAGTCAGTGTCATGTCCTCCAAGCCCATCTGTGTGGCCACAACTGGTAGAATTTCCTTCTATCCAGGGCTGAATAAAACTTTATTTATGTGTGTATCGTCATCTCCTCACTTCCATGGTTTGGCTCTGTGGATAATGTTGCAGGGACCTGGAGTACAGTCAGTCTTCAAGATCCTGACTTCAGTTCCTTTGAAAGGCGCTAGAAGTGGGATTCCTGAGTCATAGGAATGACTGGTTTGACTTTTTAGAGGAAGCCTGTACTATGTTCCCTGGTGGCTGTGCAAACTTGTGCTCTTGCCCAACAATGTGCCAGCACTGCCCCGTGCCTCATAGTCCAACCTTGTTCTCCTAGGGTTGCTGCTAAGAGTCTTTTGTGGTAAGCATGGTGGATCTTTCTGGCGTCCTCTGATATACCCTGTGTCTTCATCATAATGCAAGACTTTAGTATTATTTAGCATTCTTCCCTCCTCTAAATTTTTAAAGAATATTTTTATTGAGTTTTTGTGCATTTCATACAATAGTTCTTAATTAAATTTAGATCCCTACCCCATCCATGCCCCCACATACCTTCCTCCCACTGGACCTGGTATTCTGTCATGTATGTTAAGTCCTATTGGGTCAAGCATTTGTACCTACATGTCCTTCAGTGCAAGTTTATCCACTGAAGTCTCCTCAGCCTATCTAGAGATCGTAAGGAAGATCTACTCACCCTCACTCAGCAGAAATCAGTTGCCAACCATTTCCAGGCTAGGGCCAGCCCACTGCCCATTTCCCTCACTCCACACTGGGCTCTTCTGTGGTTGAGTTGGCATGGGTCCCTGTGCTCAATGCCACCATTGCTGTAAATTCACATGAGCAAGTTTCTAGTGGCCTGAAAGCCTCTGTTTCCAGAAAGTTTTGTAGTAATTCTATCAACGAGTGCAGCAAAAGTCCCAGAGAGGTTCAGCCACACGTGTCCAACCTGCAGCCTCTGGGCTGCTTGTAGCTCAGGATAGCTTGCTGTGTGTCAAGGTCATGTAAAATCAACATATGGCTGCTTTTACAACCCACAGGCCACAGCGTGGACACCTACAGATTTCATGACTGGCTCAAGATAATTCTTTGTTCTATGTGGTCCAGAAAAGCCAAAAGCCTGGTCACCCCTAGGCCCCTGTCAGCCGCAGGAAATATGTATGCTGGTAACCATCCCCCTATAGAGGGGGATCCCTGTGTTCCCAGTTTAGACATCAGTGTTGTACAAGGTAAGCAGTCCAGGGAGTTTGAGGGTTAGCCCAGGAGAGAACACTGGGTCAGTCACACAGGTGAAGTAACTTGTCACATAGCCATCAGTTTTCATAGTAATCCAGCTAAACCCCACAAGGCTTTTTTATTTTCCATTTTGGGGTCTTGTAACAAGTCAGGTATTTGTAATAATGAAGATAAGAGTTGGAGTGGATTGTTTTCAGATTGACTTTTAGAATTTGTTTTTGTGAGGGTACAGCTCAAACCCAGGACCTCAACTCATGCTAAGCAAGTTCTGTACTCACAGAGCTACACCTGGGCTTGTCATTCCAGGCAGCGTTCCAGCAATGCTCGGTCCATACTTACTAGATAAACTCATGACTGAGAATTGGATGAGCATCCTCACTAGGAAAACATGAGGGAAAATTTTTATACTTCTCAGGAATTTATGTGCAGGATAAGTGAATTAGAGTACTTCCTCAAGGCATGTTTTCTTTTTAAAAATATTATTTATTAAAAGCTTTAAGGCTTGATTTTTAATGCACACCTATGGATTCTATTATGAAATGGAAAACTAGAGGCTGTTGTGTGCTTACCCTCCTGACAAAATACTCAGCCGGCCTCCAATGCCAGGGAAAGTTTCCTGTCTGCCAGACAGAGGACCCAAATTGTCTTTCCTCAAGGTCTTCAAATTTGGGAGTGCTTTCATTTGGTGGTGGCTGGCATCTCTGCCACCTGGTGGCCAGTGTTGCAATCCACAGCACTTTCCTTTTAAGTGTTCAGGACTGCCATCACCTAAAGGTCTGGAACTGGGGAGCTGATGCTGGGGGGGCGCAGGGCACCACAGCAGAGCCCATCGGTCCCGAGTTTGACTATTTGCTCAGATTATTAGGGCAAAACCCCGACAAAGTTAACGACAGAGTCGGGTGTGGTTAAAGCCAAACTTCAAGAACCGGTTGTTAAATTGTCAAGGATTTTGAAACCTGGTTGTTAATTATAGCGACTGTTAAAAATAGATTATATAATTGTACACTTGAGTTACATCAAAGCAGAGATAATGAAGGCCAGTGCACCACTTCCTGTGCTTGTACTGTTATTTGTGCTGTGAAAGTTATTTCCCTCATATGAAATGGCATCTCTTCCAGCTCCATGTTCATGATCACTCAGCCCTTGAAGCTTGGAATTCTGGGAGTATTTACACCATAGAATTGCCAAATGCTACGGAATCAGTTAGACTTGATTTTTGTTGTTTGTCTAAACTGAAGAAAGTTACAGAGAAAATGTTAACCATGCACATTCTAATTATAACTGTGCAATGTTTGGAGGCATTATTTTGTGGAGTGCAAACTTAAGGCTCTATACTTCTAGTGCTGAGTTTGAAAATTATTCAACTTAGCTAAAAAATTGCCCATGCCATTACATCAATGAAGCCCATGTAGATGCAAGAGTTTAATAAAAACTGAGTGTGGTGTTGTATGCCTTTAATACCAACATTTGGGAGGCAGAGGCAGGCAGATCTCTGTGAGTTGGAGGTCAGCAGGTCTACTGCTCTGTGAGTGCCAGGCCAGCTGGGGGGCTACAGGGAGACCCTGCCTCAAAAGACAAAAAAAAAAAGAGTTTAGTTAAAAAAAAAATCACACGGAGCCTGTAATCCCAGCACTTTGGAGGCTGAGGCAGGAGGATCATAAAATTTGAGGCTAGCCTAGGCTACAGAGTGAGTTCAGGGACAGCTGAGTTACAGTAGTGAGATCCTTTCTCAGAAGAAAAGAATCCAATTGGCTCTATGAGATTTGGATAAATGATATTATATCTTTTAATATCACTTTAAAGTATGCTTCTCACTCTGTCTGAGATGCAATAACCTCATTTGCACATACGCCTGATGCTCTTCTTCAGACATCAACTCTGTTTGTGGTTTTGTTATTTCTGTCA